CGTTACCATATACTTCTTCCGGTCTTTATTATAAGATATTTTAATTTGTCATATGTTTTACCGAGAATATTTTTTTAATTAGAAAAAAAATTTAAAAATATATTTTCACATTAGTTGTGTTCTACTAATTATTATGAAATATTTTAACGTTTTTTATTCCAATTATAAAGAAATTCTTAATAAAACCTAGTACGAAATCAAAATGTCTTATAATAAAAACCGGAGGGATTAATCTATTGAGAAAATATGTTCATTGGGAAAATCTTCCTCATTATTTTAATTCAAAACAGATTTACTCAATTCAAATTTAAATTCGTCAGCATAATAAATGCGCACACCAACAGGTTAATATAACTATGTGTATGTCAAACTAATAAGAATTCACTGGTGCATTATGAAAAATGTCAATAATAATAATAATAATAATAAATAAATAAATAGCAGGGCTCCTCCTCAGTCAAGACAAGCTTCTCATGTAAATTTGTCTCAGTTGTGATCCTCGTGGATTCATTTTTCTCATATGCATGCAGTTTGCGACCTAAAATATCGACATTTGTACGTGGCATGGAATTGCGAAATAGCGGCTTAATATGGTCCGATACCAACGGGTCCATAGACATAGAAAACAAGTCAACTTACTTGTATGGCCAGACCACATGGGATATGTCCACCTAATTGACATTTGGGCCACAAGGACCGTCCAAAAATGTGATCTATCTTGCCGATTTTGTTGACTCGTTTATGTTCCGATATTTGCTTCGTATTTCCTCCAAATGATAAAAAAAAAAAAAAAAAAGGAGCATTTCATTTAGATAAAATCATATTATATCCATCTACCAATCAAAGTATTTACAATTTATAAAATAAATTATTTATTATTGTTGAAAGTGAAAATTATATTATTATAATATTAAAATAAATAAATAAGAGCTAACAGTAGATGAATACTCGAATTTGAAGAATACATTACTCAACTTTTAAAATTTAAATGTGTTGGACGTGCCAACCAATCTGCAAAACTGACTATTATTAGTATGTAAAATTTGCAACGTATGTCTTTCAATTTGTTTCTTCCATTATTCCTTTAAATATGTTGAAAATGTTACTCGTAATTCGTTTCTAAGAGTGATAGAATCTTCTTCTTCAAAAAAAAAAAAAAAAAGAGTGATAGAAGAGTAGATTAAAAACACTTGGCATTTGCTACTTGTCGTTGGATTGAACATTGAAGCATAAAATGGACGACCGGTCTACGAGGGGCTATGTTTTCAAAACTGGACGGACAAGGCGATCGAACTGGTTAGCTCGGAAATCGGAGGCCTTATCGGTCCAGTTTCTAAAATGAACTAGAATTTTAAAAACTCGATCAAATCCGGATAAAACCGTGGTTTGTCCAAAAATCGGCACCGGTTAAACCTGTATTTCATAAATATTTTTTAAAAAATTAATTTTTAGTATTTTTTAATATTATTTTAACCGATAAAATTTCAAAAAATGAGCTAACCAATCAATCCGATTAACCCACTAACCCGAGCAATCGGTCCGGTTTTGAAAACATAGACGTAGCGGATGCGTACGGACTTGGGTTGCCGCTGACCGGAGTCAATTCATTGAAGAATTGCAAAGAAAAAACTGGAACTACTACTTTTTTGTCAAATTAAAAAACGCAATCATCGGTGGACCTGGTCATCTGTTTGGTAGAACCAACAACTACCTCCAAACTCCAAAGTAGCCCAGACAAGAGTCAACTTTCATTTGTCTAGGAGTTGGACTGTCCAAACTCCGAAACTCCAAACCGAACCAAAAGGGTATAATAAGGTATTTTTCCTATCTCAACAAAGAAGACATGACAATAATTATAACACCAAACAAGAGAGTAAATCAAAGTATTAAAAGACGAGAGAAAATGATACAGATAACCCTTAAAAAAAGATCCTATGTTTGCAATTTAAATTCTTTATTTTTCACGTGATTTATATTAAAAATAAAAATTGATATTGGACAATCATTTCAGGTATTAACTCAAAACTCAAAATTATATCTGATAAAGATTAACCTTCGACAAAGACTATTCTTGATTAATCATGATGAACTATTATATAAAAAGAATTTTTTTTTAAAGCTCTCTGTTTTTTTATAAGTACTTATGAAAAAAAAATCCCTATTAAGACTCTTATTTATCCCAAAAATATGAAAGTAATACTTGTTTTTGGCATGTATCATAATTATGTAATGCCTACCTCCTTCTGTTCTACGGTCTCTTTAGATTAACTAACGCTCCATAGACATTCCAACCATTCTGCACATATACTTTCAAACTTGCCTTCAATTATATCGTCCCCCATTTCCTCAAGCAATCATGCTTCCAACACCCCCCCGCCCCCCTTCCCTTCTTAGCTTCTTCATAAAAATGGATTACTGTTTCATCAGAATCACTCGTTAATTACCAACATTTGATCATTCTGTTCCCACTCAAATTTAATCTTCCCCATGTATCAAAAAGATTGTCCATTTTAAATATTTTTTGCAGTTATACAATCTCGAATTGAATAATCATTTTAGGAGTGAGCTAACATAAAATTATATATAATCCATTCCAGATCTAAAATCGACTTTCTAAACTCTTTGTCCTTCAAAAAAACTAAAAAAATTTCTTTTACTCAAGGGTTGATGTTTATACTTCTGTAATTGTTTGATTAATAACGGAATTCTTGTTTTAAGATAGAGAGTAATACACTCCATTTAGAACATTATCTTGTAAAGCGATCCGCTTTTAACACACTCCAATCTGTCTTGTTTATAAGGCAATTTTCTTTCTCTATAAAAAATAATGATTAAAATGGGAAGAAGTAAGATGAATGTTGATAATAATTACTTAATATTTTAAAATATTTTGATTTGTCCTAAATTTCACTTAATCCGCATCTATAATTTATCTATAATTTATAATCTATCTATAATAACACCCATTATAGCAAAAACCATGTTTCTCCTAAAATTACAAGTGTCACTCTTTGCTTAAAATTCTCCCACCCTAATCCCCAAGAAAAAAAGAAAAAAAGAAGAAGAAATATTATCTTTTTTTTAAAAAAAAAACGGGAATCATAATCCCCTTTTTATAATCCATGTTCCTCAAATACTTCAGGTATTATAAACATTAAAAGTTGCTCCATCCATATTTTCATTAAAACTTATGATACAGTTTCATCCAAATAAAATAAAATAAAATAAAATAAAATAAAACCTCCTAAAATAACCTCTTTATAAAAGTCACTGTCACTATAATTCACGTTTCTCAAATATTCCGATTATTATAAACCTTAAAAGTTACTCCATCCATATTTTCATTAAAACTTCTGATACTATTTCATCCAATTAAAATAATTTTTTTTTTAAAAAAAAGAAGAAACGAAAATCTCCGAAGATAACCTCATTGTCAAAGTCAGTCTCACTATAATCCACGTTTTTCAAATATTCCAATTGTTATAAACCTGAAAAGTTGTTCCATCCTATTTTCATTAAAACTTATGATACTCATCCAATTAAAATAAAATTTAAAAAAAGAAGAATAAAATATCCGAAAGTAACATCCTTTTCAAACTCGCTCTCACTATATAAATTCAGTTCCTCCCCTCCTCCCTCGGAAAAAAAAGAAAAAATCTCTCAAACAGTATTTCGCTCTCCTCATCCTTATCAAATTGTAGAAGACTCCACAAAATTCCAGCAAATTCAATCTATTTGTTTTGCCTTTTGGATTTATGTTTTTTTCAAACAAACTTTATTTTAGGTTTAAGTTCTACTCCTTTCGTCCCGAAATTATTATCCAGTTTGGATTTTCACTTTTAGTTCAATTTGCACCAAAAATGAAAATTCAAACTAGACAATAATTTCGAAATGCAGGATATAAAACATAGTTTGTGATTTGCTACATATTTTTGCATCATCTATTACTTTATGTTTCATTTACGTCTTAAGAAGGATCAGTAACGTTTGTATAACTCAAAACAATTTAGGGACTAAAGTCCATTCGCACGGGTCCATAACCTAATTTTTAATTGACAGAAAAATTCTTAAAAATATTTCCTACTGTGAAATATATTTTTAAATTTTTTTTGATTAAAAATATTACTAGGTGAAACAATTACAAATCGAAATGCCTTATATTAAGGACATGGTGTTAAGTATTTTCTCCAACTTCTCATTAAAAACTTGTCATTGATAGAATCATTAATTTCGTATAAAAAAAGTCATGTTCAATAATATGGTGATTTAGTTTCATCTTTTTTTTATTTAATATATATCATACACATTATGTATATTATTACACACACAATGTTTAAAAATTAAAATTTCTCAGATTTATTCAGAACGAGGTGTATATAAGTCCTCGCAACTTGCAAAGTATTCAATTTCTTATTGTAACGCCAAAATTGAGGCATCCTCAAGTCATTCACAAAATGGAGTAGATGCTGACTTTTACGGGCGGAAGTTGCCTTAATCAATCAACTTGTAATGAACATAACTTTGAATTAAACTGTCTCCCGAAGTCAGGTAATGAAAGATCATCCAAACTAATCAAAACCTTAAAAAATAGTACTCCCTCTGTCTCATAATTATTGTCCTGTTTAAATTTTCATTTCTAGTTCAACTTGTACTAAAAGTGAAATTTCAAATTGGACAATAACTTTGAGACAGAGAGAGTATTCAAAATTAAAACAACTCCCGTCACATCAAAACATACCTTATAAGTCAAACTCACCCACATTGTTTACAACTAGGATGAATCTCTCTGATTAATTAAGTCATATATGGGTTTAAATCAAAGAAAGTGTTCCCAAAAGTCCAACTTTAAGTAAAAGACGAGGTTTTTTTTTTAAATTTTTATTTAGACTTTTTAAACAACAATAGTCAAATGAACTGAAAGATGCATCATTGGCAACAAAAACTGGAACTGCCAATAAAGTACTGAAATCCAAAACACAAAAATATAAATAAAATAAAATAAAAAAAGAAAGGCTCAAGATTGGATGTTTTGGTGATTTGTAGTTTAGCTGTTGTCTGCCGCATCTTATTTTGAATCTTTTTGCTCCCTCCTTTCATTTCAATATATGTCCACACTTTATTTTCAGTTTCACACCGCCAAATCAGACTACTATTAATTGACAATGTCATAATGTGAATAATATGAAAGTCTGTCGACTCTGCCCAAACAAAATTTCAAATCTCAACAACGCCATTCCTTTCTTAAAATCCCATTTTCCGATGTCCTCGATTTCCATTTTCTTATTCCGTTTTTCCGACTAATATATAAACACAGAAAAGAGGGAATTCTTCTTTCTGGGTAATTGTACTACTGGTAGTTGACAATGGCGGGTACATCGTCAACCTCGCTGCAAATCCCTCATCGGAGATGGAAAGACAGAGACGAAACCAGCCCGGAACGTACCAAAATCTGGACTGAACCACCAAGTAATAATAACAGTAAGCAGAGGAATTCCAATCGGAGAGTCCCTGTTATTTACTATATTTGCCGGAATGGCCAGCTTGAACATCCTCATTTCATGGAAGTCCCTCTTTCTTCCCCAGAAGGCCTCTATCTCAAAGGTCCCATGAATAGATTAAACCCTTATTCTTCTTCTTCTTCTTCCTAACTATTCAAACTCTTTTTTTATCCCCTGTTTTTTTGAAGCTTTTGCTGATGAGTAATTTTGGGTCTTTGTACAGATGTGATCAACCGTTTGAATGCACTTCGTGGCAAAGGAATGGCTTCCTTATATTCTTGGTCTTCCAAAAGGTATACAGTCTGAAAAAAGTTGCTCTGTTTCCTTATAAGTTACTCTGCTCAAAATCAAAACAGAAATTAAGTTGTAAAAGGGATTTTTTTTTTATTTATTTTATTTAGGAGCTACAAGAATGGATACGTATGGCACGATTTGTCGGAAAATGACTTCATATATCCGGCGCACGGAAACGAGTACATTCTTAAAGGATCCGAGATTTTTGAAGCCGCTGCTTTGACGTCGGCGACGGATGAAACAGCCAAATTACCACCGGCGGCGGAAACTCGAGGAGATCAACAGGAGTTCCCGCCGGTCAAACCTCACCGGAGACGGAACCAGTCGTGGAGCTCATTCGACATCCACGAGTACAAAGTGTACGCCGGCGAGTCCGTCTCCCGTTCCGCCGCGGCGGATGCCGCCACCCAGACAGACGACAAGCGCCGCCGCCACCGCCGCGCGATCCGGAAGATCGAGGAAGAGGAAAACGAGGCGGCGGAGAAAGCGGAGGCCAACTCCCACTGCCAGAGTTCCGCCAGCGAGATAATCGTTAGCAGCACCGACGAGATCTCCGAGATCTCACCGCCGCCGTCCGATTCCAGCCCCGAAACTCTCGAGACCTTAATGAAGGCCGACGGAAGAATTCTCCTCCGGCCAGAAGCCGCCGCCGACGATCGGACGGCGAACAATTCTTCAACCGGAAAGACGAAAGCGTCGTCGGTTTTGATGCAGCTGCTTTCCTGCGGTTCTCTGGGGTTCAAGGACTGTGGTCCCGGCGGCCAGGGGAAGGAGAATGGATTTTCGCTAATCTCGCACTACAAGGTCCGGCTGCCACGTGGCGGCGGCAGGGCGAAGGATTCGTCGGAGACTGAGAGTACGGCGGGGTCCACCATCTCCGGGTTTGGAGGGGGGATGAGGGTAAAACTGGAAGATAAGGAGTACTTCAGTGGGAGCTTAATAGAGACAAAGAAGAACGAATTTCCAGCTCTCAAGAGATCTTCTTCTTACAATGCTGATCGGTAAGTACTCTTTTTCTTTTCTTTTACTGCGCAGTAATTATTATTTTTGCTTGGATTTTTGTTGGGTTTCCATTTTTACGGTATTGTGTTCTGTTACATTTTTGTCTAGTTTTACACATTTGACTTTCTTGTGTAGTTCAACAATTCACATGTACAATTTTGTCTTCCAATGATGAATCACCAATTCGATTAACTAAGGTCTACATTAATGGTAGTTTACTTTGGAATTGTCAATTGTAACGTTAGGAAATCATGGAAAATTTGAGAAATAACCTAAGGGTTACTAAATAGTACTCTCTCCGTCTCATAATTATTGTCTAGTTTGAAATATCATTATCAGTACAATTAAACTAAAGGTGAAAATTCAAACAAATTTTAGACAGATGGAGTATCAAGGATTCAGTAAAGTTTTGGTTTGATACATAGTTGTAATGGATGGGAGGAATCTTAGGAGATTTGCTAGAGTCATGAAATCTGTTGTGATGTTCTTACTATTTTGGCCCTTTACCTAGTGGAAGTTGTGAAAACTGAAACCAACCAAAATATACTCTGTGGTGGTACATTCTGTGCATTTCCAATGGGGCCAGAAGAGTATTACCTTTTCAATGATGACAAATTGTACATAAAAAAAACAAAAATACTCTCTCCGTCCCATAAAAATAGTCCACATTGAATTTTGAATTTTGTACTCCTTCCATTTTAAAATAAGTGTCATCCTACACTTTGTACATAGTTTAAGAAACTCTTAAATATAGAAATAAAATTACTTAAATATCTCCAACCAATCCCATTAAAAAAATATTATTAATTCTTTTGGGGATAATTTTGGACAAAAAATGTATTAAAATGTAACAATAACACTTATTTTGAAATTTCTTTATTTTGCTAAAACGACATTTATTTTGGAACGGAGGAAATTTCAATGTGGACTATTTTTTTTTTTTTGGGACGAAGGGAGGTAGTACCTTTTACTTGAATTAAAGTTCTTCTGTTCCAGTTCAAAAGTTTAAAAAACAGGGTATAATGTAACTCGACTGCAAGATTCCCAGTGACAGGAGTGAGATTTTTTCACTGAAATGGGTACTGGGTAAGCCTTTATGGCCTGCAACTGTAAATTTGATATGCAGTGATGATGCTCTGTTCTGTTCCGGTCTCGATGTTACTAGACTTGAATCTTGATTGCCTTACAAATTAGTCGTTTCTAATTTTTCTTTTCCGATTTTATTTACGAGCCACCAATTTAAACTAAATTTAATATTACCTTCGTCTCAAAATTATTTTTTCTTTTTAAATTTTCATTTTTAGTTCAATTTATACTAAAACGAAAAATTAAGTTATTTTAAATCCTATAAATAGGACATAGTGATTGTTTCAATAGTACTTGAAATTATCTGAAAAGTAGAAGAAAAAATAACAGGGGAGCTAGCTCGTTTTCCACCAGGTAGTCTAGAGTCTAGACTGGGAACTGGGAATGCATTTACTTACTACCTTATAGCTGCCAAACAGCACAAATGCAGTTAGCTTCCATCACTGTACCATGTGAGAATCCACATGGAGATTTTTGTATACTTGGAAGGAAGGAAGTTCATTCATTAACTATATAGTATATAGGGAGGATTGCATTGAACTATCATGGAAATTTTTCTTCTACCTCATTTATCAAGCCGTATAGTTTTACTACATTTCAGTTTTCAATCCCTCTTCACGTGGGTTGATCTTCATTTTCTTGATTATATCATGAAGCCGGGGATGGCCGACCATTGACTCAGGTCGGATCATCCCTGGGGATTATTTTTCCGATTAGTCAAAGGTATTAACGCTTCAATTTTTTATTTTAATTTTTATTTTTTTTTGGTATGCAGGAGCTCATCACAGTTAGAGCTTGGGGAAGTACAAGAGATTAGAGAAGGGAGCAGAGCAAAAGGCACATTGAGGAAGGCAAAGACTAGTATTCTGGCCTCCAAAATGGAAAGAAGCACCAGTCAAATTAGCTCTAGTAGTAGCAGTAGTAAAAGATAAGTTGTTTTTTTTTTTGTAATTTTAATGATAATTTTAACCACAAGCTTAGCAGCTAGATTATGTTAATTAGCCTGAGGCAATTTGCGAGCAGACTAGAGTCTTTTCATCATATATTTTAGGCTGTAAATTTGTTTACTACATAATTAAATGTCAGATCCTAAACCTAGTTTACTGCATAATTAGCCTATGACTTAGCTGAGGTAAATTTCCAAATTTTGTGTCTAATTACGAATGAGATTAATTTGACACGTTGATATTAGACCATACCGTGTTAAATGTAAACTTCGTATTCTGTAAATTAGCACAATACTAAACTAATGGATTTATAGAAATGCTACACATGCAGTTAGTTACATCTAGATTGAAATTAAAAAAAAAAAAAAAAACACTACATGGTGCACGCATTACCAAGATGTGTACAGACTCTAGAGAGTCAACGCTCAAAAGTGAGTTGCTACAAACACAAAGGAGAACTTGAATCAGTTTTTCCATGATTGACCCATGGATGTGATTAAACTTTAAAGAAATGAAATAAAGGTTGATGGATAACAGACCAAGAAAGAAAAGATGCACAAATATTTTGACTTGTAAATCACGCCACGGTCCGATTCAGGCACTTGATATATTTATTAGTAATTTCAACACATGTTGATCTTGGATGCTCGAAATTCACAGAAATTTAGGTTGACTTATGGAGTTTCAATGTTCATCTATCATTTGATGCCTGTAAGAATAAGATGTGCGACTCTAGTGGAGTTGGGAGTTGAGGACCAAAACATTGAACTCTGAACCTGCTTCCTTGTTACACTCTCTTTCATACCAGATGCTGCATTTTACGCAGCTCACTCTCTTTCATTTCTCTAAATTTGATAGTACTACATTTTTTATTTTTCAATGACTTGTAACTAGGCTTGGATTCGAATCCCAGCAGTTTCATCATGCTGAAATTCTGGAGTTCTTCTCACCAAATCAAAGTAACTTCAAAACCATAAGTATGTCTGCAGTGGCCTCCTTTCAGGAGGGAATCTCTGCACAATAAATTGCTAAAGAGTATGTGGATGATTTTTACAGTTATTGATTCCATTTAATTTAAGGTTTGCTCTGCAGTAGTTCCACTGGTAACCGCCATAGTCATTTCTTCGCTATGTGGAGCTCTCTCTCGAACACCTGTGGTATGAATTGCATGCATTAAGCAACATTTGATATGCATGAAAGGCATTTAAACATCAGCCAAAAAAGCTGCTACATATAACCTCTGCAGTGTTTCAGATTGAAGGAATGCTGCTAGGAAAACCAATCTCACCACCATTTCCCATCACTCTGATTGCTGAATGGGGAAGCTAAGGAAACGAAACTGAAAGAAGAAAAGACTAAGGAAACAGAGCACAAGTATATTAAACTAAAAAAAAGGCTGTCTTTAGGAATCAGAAAAAGAAAAACATCTGTAACAAGTTTCACAAGAATGCGGGTGTCGTATTTCTTTGTAAGAATAACTATTACTCTCCCTGCTGTCATTGCCTAGTAGAAACACGTTAGTTGCTCAGCAGGTAAACTAAGTTTCACAGTTCCTTAAAAAAATTTGATATGCATCTTGAGTTTTTCTCCATCTATCAGTCATCAAAGGTCATCACTTTCTAGCCAGGTACCACGAAAACGCATCCCTTGAATCTGCTGCTGTATCGTCGACATAATCACAGAGCTCCATTCGATATCCAGGATCGTGATCTTGGGATACCGGCAGGGTATCCGATACTTCATCTTCCATGTCAATGATAATGTTATGGAGAATGCAACACACGTATATAAACCTTGGTAGCCTGTGCTTGTCAGGTCTCCACATCACTCCATCAATCATCTTCCATACATGCTTTAACCTAGCGAATGCTCTTTGTGACACAACACGAGTTGCCATGAGGCGCTTGTTAAATTCTGCTTTGGCTTCTGGGAGGTCTTTTCCTTGGTAAGGAGTCATAAGCCAAGGCAACAAAGGGAATCCTGTATCACCAATGATGTATTCCTGCATTTCAGCTCTTTCGGACAATTTCAGTTTCTCCCCATTTAACCTTTGTCCATTCTGGCATGAATGAAAAAATTTGGAATTTTGGAGCATTATTGTGTCAGTCAACATCCCTGGTAATCCAGTAAGGATTTCCAGGAACCTCATGTTGGGATCAACAATTCCCATCAAAACCATGCTGTGATTTTCCTTACGATCAAGCCACACGTGAGCTGCTGTCTCAGATGTGGACAATAGCATTAGTATGTGTGTAATGTCAATTGCACCACAGCAATTTGGGAGTCCTCGAATTTGTTCAAACTGGGATTTTATATCATCCAGTACCTGCTGGGAGGCAGGCCACCTAAGGTGCTGACGCCCCTTCACTTCCATGGCCTCAACAAAACGCCAAGTTACTTGAGAAACAGTGGAGTGATGTACCCCAAAGGAATCACCAATTTGGATAAGTGAACTTCCTGAGCTAAGCCTTCTCAAGGCTAAAGCAACTTGGTCATATAGTGACAGTGGCTGGCCATTATTAAATACATAATGTGTTTTCAGAATCATGTGCTCCCTTGCCAATGAGCAAACATACTCAAAAGTTCTTCTAGACATGTTGAAAATGGTTTGAAATAGATCCAAACCCCTTGCAGGAGATAAATTCAAGTTACCTATACAAGACAAAAGCAAAAAGAAGAAAATTTCAGAACAGACACAGGTAAAGGGAGTTATTTATGAGTTAACAATATAAAGCATGGTGGTTAATAAACTACAACTGATCTCTAACTAATTCTTTCATTTTGATATTTAACTATTTGAGGACTTGTATCTTCCCCAAACAGACAATGAACAATTCTCGCTTAATGCCTCCATTTGATGGCAAAAATGATTCTTGTCACATCAAACAGAGACTGAAACTCACAAATGATGCATATAAGCAGCAAAGCAGATGCATACTAGTAATTGAAGAGGGTAATCACATGCCCTTTTCCAAAGAATACGTCAAGACAGAAGCATAAGCCCAACTTTAACCATCTATCATGCTCACACCCATCTTCTGAACACAAACAATGTATTTCATTTCTGACTTAATCTGAAGGGCTTTATAAGCAAGCTGGAACTCAAGAAAACAAAAGGAGGACCAAAAAAAAGAAGAAAGAAACACTCTTGGTATCATGATTGTAAATTAAAATGTATTTGGCGTACTGAGGATATATCATATTCTTTTAGTTCAAGCTAAAATTCATATCCTCAAACATAGAATTCCCAAATTAAAAGAGAGCACATATGAAGTAATTCCACTTCATGGAGAGGACAAATGAAGCATCCAGAAAGATAACAAAATACACTGATGTAAGACAATAGTAGACTAGGTCAATACAGAATTTATTCAACTGAACCTCCATAATCATCGCATCAGGCACCAATCTCAGTAGAGAAAAATATCTAGAGCACAGTTGACATTTCGAGAAGCTAATCCAAGTACTTTTTGGTCCTACAAATTTTTCTATTCCAAATTTACTATGAAACATCATGTATGTTCTTGGACCGTCCGAACAGTGGATTCTTTTTGATGTACATAGCCACACAATAAGAACTAAATCTTCAAACGAAACCACCATCATACTTGTAAACAGTTAGATTATCAGCAGTTCTCAATATTAATAAGCTACTGAAATGTCTTAGTTTTATCTACTCAGATGGATCTTGAAAAGAGCCATATTGGAAATATATTTAGGTCCACCTTTGAGACTAAGTTTTTTTGAGACTAACTATTCTACTGTACTTGTAATGAATTTTTTCAAACCATGATGATGCTTTGGATCAAACTAGCCACAGAGGAAAAAAACAGTAACTAGTAGTAATCCCAAGCCAGCTATCATCACTTCATAATGAAACGAAGATATCTACAGATTCTAAAGAGTCTTTCTCTTCCAGACTTTGTGAATTCAAGTTCCCATGACTCAGCCAAGTGAACCTCTCATCAGGATTCTACTACACCCCGGAAAAAATAAATTGAAAAAAAAAAATTTACACATAGAGCACAGCAATATTCTTAATCTTTTTAGTAATAGGTTTAGTTTGTCTCAACATTGCATAATAATGCAGCAACTCTGTACCTGCACCTGAATATGTCTTCAAGTCATTCAATGCGCCATAAAGTACAACAAATCAAAAAGTATACAGAGAGAGAGAGAGGGAGAGGGAGAGAGAGGGAGGGAGGGAGAGAGAGAGAGAGAGAGAGAGAGAGAGAGAGAGAGAGTATTTTCTCCATTGCTGTTGTCAAACAGAATTTTCCACAGGAAATTTCATGCACTGTTTTCTAACTGTCAACTTACTGAGAAATTTGCTTGGTTTCACTACAAACGCTTACGAAAAGATATGACCCTTAGAAAGTGGAACAAGATCAAACAGATACTGCAATCAAATTTGTTGGGCTTTTTTAAACTCTTTCACCGGACTTGACGTCTATATGCAGAGATATTGAAGGAAGAAATCATCTTATATGAGGGAAAGCAGTGAAATGCTTCAGCAAAAAAAGTGGCTCAAAGAGCCAGATGCCAATATCTGTTCAGCATTATCATTTTAAGTGTCTCAATTGGTATTTAGTTAGAGAAAGATTGACGAAAAATTTAGCAACCAGCATAAGGGAGAGAACAAACTTATATACTCAATCTGGGAAATGAAAACCACTTCTTTTGCAGAATCAAAAGTAAAGAATTCAAGGAAATAGTCCAAAATTGTAATACAGCAAGCAAGGTAAAACTACCCCGGAAAATACGCAAGAAATTTTGGCTTATGCATTTCATTTTGATGACATTACAATTTCAGAACCATCCCTTTTTGAGGTTTCAGCCCCTAAGCAGCCTGTAACTTGAGGGTAGCAGCAAGAAAATAGAACTCGATTGCCCAGCCTGTAAAGGCAGGTAAACTGTTCATCATTTGGAGACTGTTGAATCACATTCATCCAGAGAAAAGTCCCCATGCAATAGCATTACTAGCTAAGAAATATAAGGTTCTTATTGCCTGGTCTTGGGACATTTATGCTTGAAATACAGAAAAATTGTAATTTATCAGCAATGACAACCATATATTTCAAAGTTTTCATCCATGGTAATTGATTAAACTCTAAAATAAAAAGCCTTCCATTATAAGGTGTGTATCACATTACAAGTACCAGATAAAAACCAGTTGGAAGTTTGAATTGAAGATCTGTAGCCGCAAGCAAATATATACCTGTTAATGGCCTAAAGTAGATAGCTTATATGCAATAAGTTGAATATTCAGTGAGTCACAATGCATCAATTTTGAATATACATTATCAAAGAAATACCTGCTAAAACTGCCACAAATACAAAGCTGAGTAAACTGCCCAGCGAAATAGCCTTCTGATCACACCAGCGGTGAACAAGACCACATCTTGATCATTTAGACCATTTAGTCCAGTAATTAAAATGATTCTTCTGGATTTAGGAGAAAAGTAAGTGGAACACACACAGACAGACAGACAGGTCGTAGAAATATGGATAACGTGGGTGCACTGAGGGATAAAGAGCAATCAGGTAGTTAGAGGTCAATGCTGGTTAAAATATTTGTAACAGTACGTTTGTTGAAGAGGAACTAATCTATAAATGGAACAAACTTTATGAACTCAGACACAGAATTTCATTAGCACTTCCTTGTGAAAGAGAAAATGATTTAAGTGTAGGACATGCCAAGCATGGTGAAAATAAGGAGATTTGGGTTATTGCTGTAACACATTGAATATGCACAGGGAGAGCAAGATTGAAGACAAGTTAATCACATTGGCCTCTCACATACATTCATTCAATAAATCACCATCCAAAAACACATGAATAAACCATTCCATCAGAAGTGATCACATAAATTAACAGTAAACAACATGCATCACCTGGACTGATATATTTCCCAAAACTAACAGAATCGAAAACCCGCATTAGCACGAATCACAGAGGTGGAGAAAGGTAAGTAGAAGAATTGAAAAACATACTAGCAATCCTTTCTGCTACATCATCGAACCAATCAGTCGAGACATCCTCAGAAGACCCAGAAGCAGCACCAGAGGAAGACCCAGAAGCCATAGAGTTGTTTTGGGTGGGTTCAGCTTTACTCTCTGTCTTCCTCTTCTTCTTTTGACCTCCTCTGATAGGACCCATCACCCCAAAAAACAAAAAAACCAACCAAATTGACGAAATTCCCAAAAATCCCACTATCCTCCAAATCCCAGAACTGCAAGAATGGAAGCAAATTAGACTCCAGAAACCATAAAACACATGTTATTGCGTATGCAAATTCAGAACCAAAGGGAAAACAAAGCCAAGCACCGACTGAGATCATGAAGCAAACGCATGCACAGCTGTAAGGAATTTACTACCTTTCATAACAAGATAAAATACCTGCCGGGTGTCAATGGGATTGACCCGTTTCCCTCTTGAAGAAGGAAAACATGCAAATTTGCATAAACAAAAAAATTACAGAAACAGAGTTGAAAAAAGGAAAAGAAAAGATATATGTAATATAACATTAGATAAAGGGGGCGTTTTCTCGTTTGCGTTTGCATAACATCATCTCTCAGAAGAAGAAGTTCAAAAGCATTCAAAAACTTACTTTGGTTTAATGTATGTTTAGGACAACAATGTATGAATACAAAGGCTTCAAAACTGACATTAATCTGGGCAAGCAGCAGCCTTGAGTGAAAGCTTGAAATAAAAATGAAGTCTTTGTTTCAATGTTATATATATATATATATATATATATGTGTGTGTGTGTGTGTGTAATTTTCCTTACCAAAAAAAAAAAAAAAAATTCTCACGCACCAAAGGCAAAACCGCAAAAGCGCCAGCAACCCAAAACTTTGTTTTGTTCTGTTTTTGTTATATACTTTTTTGTCACATTGATGATTATATATTAAACTGTATTTGTATTCAATGGGTTGGAGTGGATTGGATCTAAGTAATACCAGTAATAATTTTTTTTTATTACTTATTAGTATTAGACCCAGAATCTCAATACCAGGTAAAATCACAAATTACCATATGGATTGATTGATAGAGAAAAAGAATAATGTAGTTGACTAATTAGTATAAAGAGTATATAGATAGACTGGATGGGATAGCTGGGTGACGTTTGTAAACTTGTGTTGAAACAGAAAGATGATGCCGTGAATTCCAGTAAAAAAGAAGTTATTGCCGTGGGACGCTTGTGGACTGTGGTTATGGATATTATTAATTATTGTTCTGATCAAATTTCTTGCAAACCTGGATTATATATTGTTATAATAAATTAATAAATCTTTTTGTTATGCTTGTTTTAGTTCCAAAAAAAAAAACAATTTTGTTTTAGAACAAAGGAATAGTGTATTTTTAAAAATCTATCCAAAAATTGAAAATCTTGATTAAATGGAACCAGGATGATATTTCTACCGGCTTACTTCCCTATTTTTATTAATTTTGTGAGAAAGCAAATTTTTGAAACGGTTACTTACTTAAACATTGTTTCCTTTAGTTTTATGTATTGCATTTTACATTCAACACCTAATTGAAATATTTTACGTAGTATTGAAGTAGTATCCGTATGGAAATTGAATGACAGCCTAGTGATTAAGTTACTGTCCTTTCTGGTAATATGCCAGGGTTCGATTCCCACTAGAGTGGGTTTTACTCACATTACAGTGAACAACAATTTATCGTATATGTATATCCATATACCGAGAAATTAATTTAGTTAGAAATTCATTATATTCACTATCAATTGAATTTTAAAATAAAAATTTAAATATGACAATTGTTTTAAGACAAATCAAGTGCCAATTTCATATAGAAGAGCCAAAACCTACATCACATTATAACTATTTGGTGAGTACGCTAAATTCTTTTAAATTCGTAAAAAATGTTCACAATTAGACATATGAATCGGCTAACAATTTTCCAAACTTTAGATCAATTTCCTGTATCTTTCTTTACATTTTTCTTCTTTAGTATCCATGAGTTTGGTAAACCATTTATCAACAACATTATGTAATATGTCTGGGAAGGGGGAAAAAAAGAAAAAAAAAAATAGAAAACAAGGGAAATCGTAGAAACGAGCATGCAGCACGTGCTATGTGGTGTCTCTCTTTATTATTGGGCCGTTAGTTATCCAGAGATCCCAATTCAGGTTTCAGAAGCCTAAAAAGTAGTCAACAAGTAAGTCTCGAAAAGGTAAAAGGAAAAAAGATAAAGAAAAGAGGAAAGGTGATGGATTCTCTCAAAAACTGAGAGATAGGCCCAATTGGATATCGTGTTAGAGCAAACAGGACGAAAAGCCCAATTTCGAAAAAAAAGCTTTCTAAGTTTAATAAAAAGTTATTAGGAAATCCTTTTATGAGGGCTGAATTTGGGCTACAATTTATTCTATATATCTTGATCTGTGTGATAGTTGCAATATATTACACCATCTGGCCCATTTTGATAACCTATAATTCAACCAAATGGTTATTGATAAAAGTGAGATGGATATATATAGAATAAATTGCTAGATCTTTATCTTTGAAAAGAATTGTATTTTCTTCGTTGGCTCATCGTCACTCATTTTACTCCAGCAAGGCCACACTAAAGGTTCTGAAATTGGGCCAAGAAAAAATATAGGCCCAAATCTGAAGGCAATTTTAGACCCAGCCCAATATTGTGAGTCAATTCAGGAATGGAAATTCACATAAAATGTTGAATGAATTAGTGTTCTATGACTAAATTTAATTAAAATTAACCACATTGTAATTTTTTTTGGGGTACAATATGAGGAGGCAGTTGCCTGATAGATTATAGATTAAATCGCTATAGACCGTTTGTAAGTTACCTACTATATCATGATACAACCAAGGTTTTACCACATTGTAATATTAACCACAAGAAACCATAGCAAAAATAAATAAGTAAATAAAATAGTCGGAGATCATCAACCCATTTAGCTACAAATAAGAGTGTATGGATGTTTTATCGTGCAGTTGGTCATACTTTATCTTTTAAAAAAATTATTTTTCTGGGATAAAAAGACTATATTATTATACTACAAAATTTGCAATTAATTATAAACTCAAATGCGATAAAACATCTTGGGAATGTACAATGTTTGATAACTTATAACACATCGTTGGTTTTGAGTACAAAGAAAAACATAATTTGAAGAAAAGGCAAATGAATATAATCACTTTGATTGAAGAATAATCAGTTGATAATGTTCCAATATGTTAACCTATTTACTAACTAATGCCTTCTTTGTAAAAATAAAAAATTATTGCGACCAAATTTGACTCATGATTTTCGACACATGATAATAACAATTTATTATTATCACCACATTGTTTTAAATAAAACATCTTATCTTATTTTGTAATTATAAACAAATAAAGGTCATCTGCGCGTAGTGCAGGCAGATGATAACTACAATAGTTTTAAGGAAAAGAGAATTGATTTATGTTATTCAAATATGCCAAAATGTACAATATCCAGAGAATTGATTTATGCTGAGACAACAGAGCTCAGAGCAATTCTTGTAGCCATGGAGGTAGCTAAGAACCTAGAAATCGCTAAATTAATATGCGAATCGGACTCCCAGACAGCAATTGATATGATTCAGAGCATGAAGGATCAAAATTGAATCCTTTTGGACCCAGAGTTAAAGAGGGATTTACACCCTTTACGTATTAATTGGGAGGTGTATTTTGTTCATACGTGTAGGGATAATAATATATGTGTCGATGCCCTTATTAAAGTGGCACTAAGTAGTAATAGGGGGTTATATATATATATATATATATATATATATATATATTTATTTATGTTCCTCACGCTGTATTGCGTTGCTACTGGAGAATGACTCTAGAAGTTTCTCCAAGTGTAAAGTTCTTCACAAAAAAAAAAAAAAAAGAAGGCAAAATGTTACTCTATCTCCCGAATTTTGATAGTCTATATTATCGTTTTGAGTTCGACTATGTGAATTACGTATAAGACGAATGAAGTATATATTTACACGAGATTGATCTTGTTGATGCACATGAATAGTGACCCAAAATTTCCCAATGTCGGAAATAGCCCAAAAGTGAGTGACTCATTGATCAATGCAATACCTACAAATCTCAAAGCGTTGTCCCAATTTCAAGGCGGAATTATTTTGCTTAAAAATCATGATTAAGCTAGTTATAAGATAATAATGCAATATCAATGTAAATGTAGTTAGGAGAGTATTATAAAACTTCAAAAACTTGGCATTATCATATCTCAATCATCTGCATTATTAATCGTTCTAATGTACATACCAAAGTATAAGTTGTCAAATGCATTTGAACTTACTGTTTATCAGTTTAATTCAAAACCTCTGTCGGGTATACATTTGGTTGCACTTCACCGCTCTTTTTTGTTGTGTTTTTTTTTTGTTTTTTTTTGTGTGGTTGTGTCAAAGAATGAACCATGAGAGAAGAAGAAAAAAAAAGAAACGTAACACATTGACACCCGGCAGGCAACACTGTAAGTACAGCTCTGCATGCGGTTGTTGATGATCTCATTTCGGTGTTTTTGTTGTTTTGTTTTGAAAAATTTCTTTATGCATTAAATGATTTCCCGGTTTGTATTGTTTTTCCTTCCTTTTTTGGCAGCCTTTGGGGGGTTTTTTCTTTTTCGGGATTTTGTGAATTTGGTCTGTTGCTTTGGTTTTGGGGGCTAACTGGTTCTATAAAACAAGGACCCAAAAGGGGAGGAGGAGAAGAAGGCAAAACAAACAAAGCTGAAACCACCATTTTCCTCCAGCCAAAACAAAAACTAAAAAAAAGCTTTATCATGTCTAGCTCTTCTGAGATGGTTTCTGAGGTGTCTGATGCTAACTCTGCTCCTACAGATGTTTATGCTGCTGCTGCTGTTGCTGCGTCGTCTTGCGAGTCGTCCGAGGAGGTTTCTTCTGACTGGTTCCATGACATAGCCAGTGTTGTTGCTAGTATGTTTTCTAATTTATGATTAGACTCCTCCATCGATTCTTTTGATTTTTTTTTTGTTTTATAGATTTCGAGAAATATTATGATTTTGTCCAGCTGATGCAATGCTGTTTTTTGTTAATTTCTGTGATCTGTTGTGGTAGTATGGTTAATTCATGGGTAATTGATTTGTGATTTCTTTGAATAATTTTTTTTGGTGTGAGACCAGTTCGTTGTCTTGAGCTTTTTCTCGAAATGTTTCAGCGACATCCCTAAGATCCGCCTGTTGTCGCTATGGTTTTCATAAAATATGAGAATGTTAGGTTGGAAGTAAAAACAAATCTTACTTATGCTATCATCATAGCATATATATCAGAAAAATATGTGGTGACTCGGCTGTATGGGAATGTTAACATTTATGTTCTTAAATACCTGAAGAATAAGGTAGATAGTATATTCTCGATTCTTCCTCCATTTTGACAGTGTTTGAGTGAGTAATTAATCGTTTCTGAGGCTTTAAATTTTGTTCGTTGTCTTAAATCTTTTCCTTAAACAATCTTTTTGTTATCAGATAATCTTTTTATGTTCTTTTCTTCTGTCCGGTACACAGGAAACCTGAATTTCGTCCCACCAAGGGACTTGGACCTGTTCCAAGTGATGTTCAACATGTCAAGAAGGACATTTGAGTATGTCTGCTCAATTGTTAGAGAGGCAATGATTCCCAACCCAGATTTCAGCTTCAGTGACGGCAGGCCAATGACGCTTTACGATCAAGTTGCTGTAGCCTTGAGAAGGCTGAGTTCAGGAGGTTCCCTGAATCACATTGGTGCCTCCATTGGAGTGCACCCTTATGTTGTGAGTAAGGTGACCTGGACTTTCGTCCAGGCCATGGAGACCAAGGGGAGAGTCCATCTCAGCTGGCCGCGATCCCACCAGGAGCTCACCACGGTTAAATCAAAGTTTGAACATCTTTACGGCCTCCCAAATTGTTGCGGCTCAGTGGACGTCACTCACATTCTGCTGATGCTGTCAAGATCTGAGCCTGGAGTTCAGATTTGGCTTGATCACATTGACAACCACAGCATGCTCTTAATGAGCATTGTTGACTCTGATTTAAGGTTCATGGAAATCCTTGTAGGATTTCCAGGAATCTTGCCTGACTCATTAGTTCTCCAAAATTCCAAATGTTTTCATTTATGTCAGAATGGAGATAGGTTAAATGGTGAGAAACTTGATTTGTCTGAAAATGCTGAGATGCAGGAATACATAATTGGCGATTCAGGTTTCCCGCTGCTGCCTTGGCTTATGACTCCTTACCAAGGAATGAACCTCCAACAATCCCAAGCTGGTTTCAACAGGCATCTCATGGCGGCTCATGATGTGTCGCAGAAAGCATTCTTGAGGCTGAAGCAAGTGTGGAAGATGATTGATGGTGTGATGTGGAAACCTGACAAGCACAAGTTGCCGAGGTATATATTTGTGTGCTGCATTCTGCATAACATCATCATTGACATGGAAGATGAGGTGTTGGATACCTTGCCTGTTTCGCTGCCTCATGATCCTGGATACTGGACGCAGCCCAGTTACTATGCCGATGATGAAGCAGTGGTCTCCAGGGACATTCTGTCCCAGTACCTGGCTCTAACAGAGGAGGATCCTTCGTCAAGTGATGCATCCGAAGACAACTGATAGTCGGAAGAGCTCTGGATCGATTCAAGTTTAGTATGAAAATGCTCGTTTTTTAGTTTAGCAGCAGTGTCTCTGTCTCAATGCTGCTGTGGCTGTTGTGCTAGTTGTTTTTTTCATCAGACTCTGCTCTGGAACTTTTTACAGATGTTTTGTAATTCCCAAAGACAAACTTCCTTTTTATGCATGGGATTTTCCTTTCTTTCTTTTCTTCATTTAGTTATATCTCCATATTGCTGCTGCTTTGAGTTTATTAGTTGCTAGTCATGAATGGTGATCAGTTGGTTAAGAAGTAGTACAAGGAAATAGTTACATTTGGAGGAACTTTCCCTTTCTTCAACTTCACAGTTTCAGACTTTCAGGAGATGATGAAGGCTAATGGAGGAGACATCTTTTCAGTTTTGCACATTCATGAACATAAGTAAAGATCAGAACTTCTAATTCCTCTTCCTTGTACCATTTACAGGATGAGCACTGAATACATACAACAGCGATGTGCTGCAACACGGGGACTCATGGATCATTACGTCCAGTTGGATGCCATTCTTCGGGATATTCAGATCTCAGGTCATCTCAACTGCAAAGTCCAGAAATCCCATTAAAATGAGTAGTGCATAGTTAAGACTGACAGCAATCAGGGGCAACTTCAAGAACACGTAAACTCGATATTTAGGTTACTTCAACGACGCATTCCTTTCAAGGAGCAGTTCACGAGAAATATATATGTCTGTCAATTTCTTTATTTAGGATTCATGTATTAAAAGAAAACAGTCAGGTTTCTTCAATGGAGTCATATGTGATGCATTTCATCCGATACCAAAAATGGAATGTCAGTATATAGTAACACCAAACGACCAGATAGGCTCACAAAGCTTTCGAAAACAAGAATAGAACTTTCAAGTAGATTCAAATACCCGAGTGCAGTAGTATTTACTGTGTCCGATTGTCGGCATTCATGGCTAATAGGAATCTTTCCTTCCACTGCTCCTTCACAGAGTCTGGAATTGCTCTATCACGCACAAATGGCTTCCATTCATCACCTCGATGACTGTCAAGAACCCACTCTACTTTTTCAGGGAGGGCAACAAATGATGATGTCTGGTCACTGGTTTTTTGTAGATTTTTTTGTGCATGAACTAGGTTTCTACAAAGAGAATAAGTTATTAGCAAAGACAGTAATCTGGTAGGTTGTAGAAAGTTGAGTTCTGACAAAGGAACACCCACCTTTGCTCCTTGACATAATTTAATTGTCTTGGACAGCGGTGTATTCATATCCTTGATCTCTTCAACCAAAGCAGATAATGGTGCATCTTCATTCAACTCTGCTGCATGTCTCTGTGCGGCCGATGATAACCGAAATTTCCGACCAGATTCCTGGTTCATAGTAGTACTGTAAAAGAAAGATGGCCTGAATAGTATGCCAGTTTTTATTCCATACAACTCTGCATACCAAAAATGACAAAATATTACTCGTACTTGGGTTAATAGAAACATAGAGCACCTTGTCGATATGGGAGGCATTGCTTCGAGGAACCTCCTCAACAACCCAACCATCGGGAGTAGAGTTGGCTGCAGTTTCGCTGGAGGCTATAATCGGCAAGTGACATTTGTTCAATGTATCTTCAGTAAGTTTAACCAACTGCAAAGACAAAATTAAAGATTTTATAACCTGGAACAAAGTGTCATTTTTCATTCATCAGGATGCTCCAATCATTGTGTGAATCATTGACTTCCTTTGTATGAGTTGAGAGTCACAGTTTGTGCTAGAACCGCCATGACATATGAAGTTGAGGCTTTCCTCGATTACCTGGTCAAAAATCTAGCAGTAGGGAGGATGCAGTTTGCAACTGTTAATTTAAGTTTGCCAGCATGAAAAACAAAGAACTAACACTTTGAAAACCCCTACAATTAAGCAAATTCCAACAAAAACACTCGAGGAGAAATCACACCAGAACATACAACCATAATATCTTATCGCACGATTTTGAGAAAACATTACAAATACACCCTATACACTATCGTTTGTATAAATACAAAAAGGGAAACAAGAACTTGGGTGTTCGTTATGGATACCTTTCTACACCATGAATTCATCATCACCGACATGAATCCTTGTTTGCTAAAAAAAACACCTGACTCTTGATTATAAAACAACACTGATCTCAATGTATCCAGCTAGCCTTCCTGAAGACATACTTGTTTCCGTGCAAATCAACATAAGGTGGGGTTGATTCAAATCAAAGGGAACAAATCATTTCCAGCATCCTGAAACCCTGAAAGTTTACCAAGTGTTCGATCCTTCATCTGAAATACACCAATTTCCTTATCCTTTACATCGTCACCACGGGTAAAACTGTGGGAAAGATATACACAATTCGGTTCTTTGCAATCGGGAATACAACACGCCGACGTGCCACAATAGTAGTAATTAGTCAAAATATAGAGTCATTGTTTTCCAACTTGAAAATCTCCACCCACCTGAATACTCTATTGTTCCCAACCAATCTGAAAATTCTAAAGTTCCATGGCTGAAAAGTTGTGCCTACTGATTAGAAGCCACCATTTGAAGCTTACACGAAAGAAGGTACCGCTCTTTCAACATCATATGTAGGTACATTAATAACCTCCTCGCGACCAAATTGATCTTCATTATTAGTTTTGTAATCAAACGCCACGAGCTGACCAAGCCTGTCCGTGCCGTACAACAATCCGCTGTAAAATTATAATGTCCCAATTTATTTCATTGAAAATCGTCCAACATGGCCGGTCCGCTTTCCAAAACCCTAAGCGCAGTTCTTTGTATGGTCCACAGGGAGAGCAGATTGCAGCAACGACAAAAATCATTCGGACGTGAAGTAGGATCGCAAGACAAAATTACTTGATGGAAACAAATAGGATTGTTGCTGCAAGGGATCTTGATGCTCTTTCCACAAAAGGGATTAAAAAGCTCCAGTGAATTAGGAGGATTGGAGGTATAGATTAAACAGCCATGAGAGGAACTCGGAAGTCGCAATTGTGCACCACTTTGTGTGACTTGATGTTGTATAGTTTTGCGTGCTGAAATTCGCCATCAAGTGCTGTCTCGTTTGGCCTTTGGACCTATAATGATTCTTCACTAAAATCATGAAAGGTGGCTCTTGTGACTTCATTATTGCACGTCGCTTTTGTTTTTGATTCGTAGCTACAGTCTTGAAGAATTTGCAAACCGCACCGAATCCAACGTAATCACAATAGGGTTCAACAACTTACTCAGAATTGCATCCCAAAGCTCTTCGGGGAGATCAGTCCAATCTATGGACAATTTGAGACGTCGTCCAAACAAACCATATTCGGCCATATTGGAAACACCCACCGAAGGGAAATTTATGGATATACAAATGTGGGCGCAAAAATAATTTGATGGAGAGGCTTAAACCACGTTGGTTTGATATCGTGTATATTATGTAGGAAATCCTTGACCCCGGAGACGATGGATCTAGGTTACAGAAAGAACCAGCCATGAGAAAGCTCTTTATTTATAGGGATTCCTTCATGGCCCGAAACAACCGCCTAATCCCAAATTTCATAGGGAACACATTGAAAAGTCTAAAATAAGTGCTCGTTTTCTTTCAACATTTTTTATTAACGTTTTCCGTGGGTTTTTATTTTTTTTAATAATAATATATCACTTAACCTAGATTGTTCTAAGAGGAGAATCATGGATGGAATAAGATTATATTTTGGTTGTTTCCAAAATATAATAAGTTTCCGATCTCGATTAGAATTTAGATTTTGATTAGGACTCAGAAAATCTTTGGGGGTATCACTTTTTATTATTGGTTTTGAACACAAAAAACGTGATGGAGTTGTAGCATTAGGTAGGGTAATAAAATATCAATTAATTATTGTGGTGAGAGAAATTTTAATCTCAATCAATCAACAAAACAAACATAAAGAAAAAGGAGAAATTAAGGGTGCATATATTAAAAAGAAAAGAGATATTACCGAAAATTAGCAGATAAGAGTTGGCTTTATTCTTTTCCCATCCAGAGCAAACAGATATATGTCAATAACCGAAGAGAAGCCACAACCAAAACAAAAGGCGAAAGATATGTCAATCCCGTCTAGGATCGAGGATAGTTAAATCAACGATGACAAAGTCGGAGGACACCCCCCCCACCAAAATGCATAAACCCGAGTTTTCGGATATGCTGTTTAACTAGAGATGTTACACATTGTAGGAAAGGGATCCTATTTGTGTTATTCGTGTGATTGTTTCCTTAATGTTCATTTGGAGTTTAAACAGTCCATTTATCAGTCAGGGCTGTTTTCTTCTTACCAGCAGTCACCCTAATGGAAAATTGGACCTCAAATATTATTGTACTGAATCCATGGATGTGCATCAACAACATGGATTTAGACATTTGATCCATAGCAAATGTTGTATTTTGCCAGGGATGTTTGTGACGGACGCAGCTGGTGGACTCGGGTTGCCAATTCATAATGACTTCTAACAAAAGCGCTTAGGAGAAAGGCGTCAACCTCGATCCGTGTCTCCAAACTTCAGGCTGCGTCAGCTGTTAATATTATACATAATCATGCAATATTGCAATTCCATGCATGATGGCAGCATTGGCCATACCTTAGCCTCAAGATCAGCCAGCATTGCTACTTTTGCACTTTAGCTAGACTTGGATACTGTTGCTACAGATAATAACGAACAAATCTAAAAACTGGGGGAAAGAACAAGTATCAAAAGGTTTTAAAACAGTTGTAATATGTTCAGAGACATCTTTTCAGTTTTGCACAGTCATGAAGATAAATAAAGATCAGCACTACTAATTCATGTTCCATGTACTATGTACAGGAAGATCACTGAATACATGCAACAGCAAACATACATACAACAGCTATGTGCAACACGGGGACTCAGGGATCATTACTTCCATTTGGATGCCATGCCATTCTTCGGGGATATTCAGATCTCAGGTCATCTCAACTGCAAAACACAGAAATCCCATTAAAATGAGTAGTTCATAGTTAACACTGACAGCAATCAAGGTAAACTTCAAGAACACGTGACTTTGATATTTAGGTTACTTCAAAGATGCATACTGGTCATTCCCTTTCAAGGAGCAGTTCACAAGAAATATATATAATGTCTGTCAATTTCTTTACTTAGGATTCATGTATTAAAGGAAAAACTCTCAAATGTGCGTTCTTCAATGGAGTCATGTGTGATGCATTTCATCCGATAACAAAGATGGAATGTCAGTATAATAACACCAAATGACCAGATTGGCTCATAAAGCTTTCTAAAACAATTTTGGCTCACAAAGCTTTCTAAAACAAGAATAGAGCTTTCAAGTAGATTCAAATACCCGAGTGCAGTAGTATTTACTGCGTCCGATTGTTGGCATTCATGGCTACTAGGAATCTTTCCCTCCACTGCTCCTTCAAAGAATCTGGAATTGCTCTATCACACAAAAATGGCTTCCATTCATCACCTCGATGACTGTGAAGAACCCACTCCACTTTTTCAGGCAGGTCAACAAACGATGATGTCTGGTCACTGGTTTTTGTAGATTTTTTATTGCTAGAACTAGGTTTCTACAAAGAGAATAAGTTATTAGCAAAGACAGTAATCTGGTGGGTTGTAGAAAGTTGAGTTCTGACAAAGGAGCACTCACCTTTACCCCTTGACATAATTTAATTGTCTGGGATAGCGGTCTATTCATATCCTTGATCTCTTCAACCAAAGCAGATAATGGTGCATCTTCATTCAACTCTGCTGCATGTCTCTGAGCCGCCGATAATGACCGAAATTTCCGACCAGTTCCTGGTTCATAGTAGTACTGTAAAAGAAAGATGGCATGAATTTCTTACGTATGCCAGTTTTTATTCCAAAAAAACTCTGAATACCAAAAACGACAAAATATTAAAACTTAGGTTGATAGAAGCAAAGAGCACCTTGTCAATATGGGAGGCATTGCTTCGAGGAACCTCCTCAATGATCCAACCATCAGGAAGATTGTAGGGAGAGTTGGCTGCAGTTTCGCTGGAGGCTATAATCGGCAAGTGACTTTTGTTCAATGTATCTTCAGTAAGTTTAACCACCTGCAGAGACAAAGTTAATGATTTTATCAACTGGAACAAAGGGTCATTTTTCATTCATCAGGATGCTCCAATCATTGTGCGAATAATTAACTACCTTTGTATGAGTTGAGAGTCACAGTTTGTGCTAGAAGCCTAGAACTACTATGACATATTATCAATACATCAACTGTAACAGTAGAGGGTGAACCCTGTAACAGCAGGAAGTCGCAGAGACTTACTTCTTACCACTTTGTAACTGTTAGTGATTTAAGAACTGATCTACAAGAAATTCTAAGTTCTTACTTCTTACCATTTGTCTACTAACATTTTACATATCCCCTTTCCGCCGGGCCAAAAAACGTCACAGTTCCACACTAAGCTTTGTTCAAGTTCACTAAAAGAGTCATAACAATCACGGAAATGGATAATGTCGGTTCGACTTCATTACGTTTACCCATCAGGAAAGAATGAGATGGCCAATCATGCATTAGGCTAACTTTTTTCTGTAGCTTGTTCCATCACATGCCATGAGATTTAAATGTTTCGACAGCTTTAGAAATTCAGACAGTACGACGTACTAACATCATCAATGACAGGGAAAGTATAACTACATCTTGAATTCCTTAAATCTAGTGAAGCCGAGTTAGATTTCAAAACCATAAATTTCCACTCAGAAAAACATAACAAATTCAGTGGGATGCATTAAACCACAATACCATTCCCGCGTATCTCCAAAATTCGGTGAAAAGATTCTTCTTTTATTAGAATCCTGAGTTCCTAACATATTTTATAATTCCAACCCACACACTGTAGTTTCAGCAAAAGAAAATTTAAGAAAGAGTAACAATAAACAAGCCTATAAAACTTCCTTTTTACCTTTCCGCCGCATATAATCATCTTCCTGTACTCAGTAGGTTCCTGCCAAGTCCATTCAGAGATAATGTTAAACAACTCCAAGAAGCTTGTTTTGATTAACACAAAATTAACTAAAACTGTTTAGTAAAACAGCATTCCAACTTGCCTTCTGATCATTATCATGCCACGTGATTGCGCGAGTTTTCTGAGTAAATTCAGCTTCTTCACCATTAATGTATCTCTCAACAGCTTTCAATGAACGGAATTTTCGTCCAGTCCCAGGCTCATAATAGTACTACAATACATAAACATTCAAAAAAAAAAAAAATCAAAATCCAAATTCTCCCCCAAAATTATAGAATTCTGGGATTTTGGTCTAGACCCAATTAGAGCTTCAAATCATAGAACCTAACGCCTTACTCAAATTCTCAATCCCATGCAAAAAAAAAAAAAAACAATCAATTGACCAGAACAACTGCAGTAGTCAAAGAAAAGTCGTGGGGAAAAAACGAAAAAATGACCAGAATTGAACCTTGTCAACGGTGGGAGAGCCAGAGCGAGGGACTGCCTCAACGCCCCATCCGTCGGGGAGCTTAAAAGCAGAGTATCTGCTGCTGATTCCGGCAGCGGTGGTGGTTCTGGGCGGGTTAATCAACGCCAATTCCCGGGTTCGCTTGCTGCTGCAGTAATCCGGGTCATCAAGGTCCGCCGCATTGTTGTCCGCCGTCACCATTTTGCGGTCGGCTCGGCGGTGAATTTTTCTTTTCCTTTTTCTTTTGTTGGCGGAGGCGGCGGAGGAAGAGGAGAAGGAGGAGGAGGAGGAATTTTGGGTTGTCCACTGCTTGACTGTGAATTCTGTCAGTTTAGTAAGAAATGGAAATGATGTTCTTCTTTCAAGTTCCAACATGCATTATGGAACCGAAAACTCTCGTTTTTTTTTATTTTATTTTATTTTTATTTTAAGAATAAAAAGGATGTTAAAGAAACATTTTTTTTTCTTGGCAAAAAAGAATTATACAACATATACATAATAGTACTTGGTTTTTGATTTCTTGGGGAATTAAAAAGAAACCAAAACCTTGTGGATAATCTTAACATGCATTATGATATCATCATCGTCTCCCATTTATGAAATGTTTTTATTTTTTATATCATTTCAAGCTAGATTCTTCCCCCCTATATTGTTGTCTAAAAAGTAAATTCCACAACATTTATTACAAATAAATAAAATGAGATAGTGAATAATGAACCGGCAAAATCAACAAGTTACATTCATAACAAATAATAATGTAATTACGGATACACATATATATTCACATTTGTCATCGTTAATGGTTATTCTATTTTATCATTTTTATCATTTTTTTCCAGTTATAAATTGTTTAATTTATTATTTCTCCATCCAAAAAAGACCTATTTTATACCAATCAAATTAATTAGAATTTTTTTTTTTTAAAAAAGACTAGAATTTCTTTGTAAGTAAAATATAGATAAGAAACTATTTTGAGTTGGGAAACAAACTAGAAATTGGTTGAATTGAAAATATGTAGATAAATGATGATTGTATCTTGATTGAGTTCAATAATATTATTCTAAGAAATATATAACTTTATAATAAAGATTACTTTTTGCGGGATGGGAAGAATACGTTACACTAGGACGGGAAGAGTTCGTTACACTAGTCAAATGTCACTTTTGGAATTTTCACTTCCATTGAATTTGAATAGATTGCTACTGTTTATGAATGGAGTCATAAAAATATGACATAGTCTCATTTCCTTCACTTCGTTTTAGCAGGCTCAACATTAATACATAATCATAAATAACAATATAAAAACAATTTTCTTTTTTTTCTAAAAAAAAAAAGAGGACAGGGGAACATTAAATGACATCATAATACTTCTGATGGATTACAAAAATTTATGAAAAGATTACGGTAATATCAACAGTCAACACAATGTATGTATATGAAAATGGTTTACTTCTATGTTGTTCATTTCATGGGTTCTATCATTTTGACCTTTACAGAATAGTATTCCTCGTAGAGCTACCTACTAGATTAATTGGGTTCAATGTTGCTGGTTAAATGATTACACGAGAAGCCCATCAAAATTTGTAGGCAATCTCAGTAGCTAAGTTGACTATTTAGCATCATAATTTTGAATCATTCGGCCCACTTTCATTTTGACATTTTCGAATCTCCCGTCAGAATTTGTTGACAGTTTGAACTTTGAACAGGAAGAGAAATAATGGAATAAGATTTGGGAAGTCTGACATGCGATCAAATTCAGAAGTAACTAAAAGTGATAATTCAAACTAAATAATAATTTTGAGACGGAGAAAGTATTATGCAATTGTAAGAGCCGTTATAATAATTGAAATGCTTGTTAACAGTTTTCAATAATTCTTTTTAAAAAAATGCTTCTCAAAAGTTTTTTTTTTTGTCCAAAACAAAAAAAAAGAAAGAAAAAAACCCTATCCAACTCTAATATAAATTAGGAACTAGAGATATTAATTTCAGATACCGCATGAGTAATGTAAAAAAAAAAAGAACAACAAGAAGAAAATACTGTTTTCCTGGATTAGAAAATGTCGCAATGGCCAATGGTCAAGATTTCCGGAAGCGTAATCGATCTTCAAAATTTAATGGGACGAGCTTAATTAGTCAAATCTATCTATCTATATAACTTAATACTCCCTCCGTCCCATAATTATTGTCCACTTTGTCCAAAAAATTTTGTCCCAAAATTATTGTCCAATTTGACTTTTTATGGATCAAGTTACACATTTGTCCTTAGTAACAAACATTATCCATAAAATCTTAGTGGTTAAACAATTACTTATGTAGGGGTATCTCCGGTTGTATAAGGTAAAATATAGTTGAGTTTGACTAAAAATAAAATCCTTCATTTTAATAAACTTGGACAATAATTATGGGACGGAGGGAGTAATAGATAACTCAGATAGAGGAAACTAGGATAGTTTTTTACTTGCCACGTAAGACTAAAAATTTTCTTTATTTTTTGATTTATTAAAAAGGGAAAACATCTTTATTTTTGGTTAATAAACTCAGTTCGTATATTTGTTTAGTATTTTACTTAAATTGTAACTCATTCAACAAAAACAGTTCCATCAAAACTCAATCGAAACAACTCCTCGATCGAAACTTAAACCATCGCTCAAAATCTTCTGCTTATCTTAATCTTCCCCAATCTTAACATTTCGATTTGACTTAAAAAATTATTTTCAAAAAAATTGACACCATTGACTATTAATCTTATAAGATATATATTGAACATAATCCAGTCCCAAATCAACGCGACTGACCTCTTAATATCTGATTCTACCTCTACATCTTAATGTCCAATCTGCCTAATTGATTTTATCAATATGATCTAAATTTAAAATCTTAGCCATCCACAAATCATGGTCAATCAAACCTTTATAACGACTCAACAAATCCAGACTCAAGAATCTGATGCGCTGGAAGAGCTCGCCCCAGTGAAGGTCGAAGAAAAAAATCACTAATGGGGAGAAAGGAAAGATTCTGGATGTTGAATTGGAGGACACATTGAGTAATCTAATTTATTATGTTTCTTTTCTCAAAAAAAAAAAAATTTTATTATGTTTCTTTAGTAGTTATTCCGCATTGTTGTAATTTTGTGGCATAAACCATGGACATTGCTAATGAACATTGCTAATGTGAGGGAGAAGAGAGACTGAGTACAGTGCAGAAAAATCATAAAGGAAAGAACACGAATGATAATAAAACTAATCAAAATAGGTTATAAAAGAATGTGTTTTATTTCATACAAGTAGCATGGTAATTCGCAAGTATATGCAAGAAGTTGAACTCGGAACTATTGGTGGGATGTCAAGCCAACAAACAATTTAACCTACTTTCAAACTAGTAGCATAAGAAAGCAAGGTCGTCTCAGGGAATGGTGGATTCATTTCTTTCAAATAAGTAACCGAAAGGGGGGTTTTGAGTTTTAAAACTAAAATGTTGTTAAAATAAAATTAAAATGATAGTTTCAAAAAAAATGAAAGCAAATTATGAGAAAGTTTCTAGTCAAAAGATTTTATATCCACCTTGGTCTAGACAATTGATCATAAATGCAATGATATACTCAATCACTTATAGGCAAATTAGTTTTCGTTGTTGGAACCTCTTAACAACTCAATCTTGAACTAAATTTAGTGATTAAGAAAATATTCATTAAAGACACTAGTCGAAATTCAATCCTGGAACCTCCTAAGATTAAGGAAACGACTGCATTAAGTACAAAGACCTAATTCTGATTCCTATGAAACAAACCTTGTTTAATAAAAAACCAGATTACGTGTTTTTATAACATAACGAATCACTTACCAAGTAATTAAATTATACTATACCCTAATTAAACAACAAACCTTGTTGTCTTATTGGTTTTAGATTATTAAGAAGCATCGAATGGTACCACCTATTCATGAATCCACAATAATCATATCAATCATGCAATAGAACAAGGAAATACTCACAAGAAATTGAGAGAGAACAACATTTAGATCTCACAACAATTCAAACCAAGGCTTCAATATCTTTCAACTAGAAAAATAATCTAATTACATATAATAAAGCCTTACTGAGACAAAATTATGGAGAATGGGGAAGAATAACGCCCAAAAGGGCTAGATTGGCGGCTTAAGACCACTCCAGCCTCGTCTTCTTCTTCTCGCGTTCAGTCCCCTTCTTCCAGAAAAGAATAAAATCAATTTATATGCCAAAAAGTAGGTCAGCCGCCAGCAGCTTTCAGAATTTCGCAACTGCAAATTAACTTTTCCGAAATTTGCATATTGGTCTCTCAAGTTTGGCAAAATTACATTTTATCCTCAAAACTTTTTTAATTTTTTATTTTAGTCCCTATTTCGGTTTGGCCAAACGGGAATGCAGCATCAATGCTAGAATTTCTTCTCTAAAGCTCAATTTTGGACTGAGATTCGTGTGCCCACACGAGAATGTGATGTCATTGCTCCCTTCTTGTGCTTCATTGTCAAAATGCTCTAAAAATGTGTGTTTATGGAACATTTTGCTCCATCTCATCTCTAAGGACTCCTAGGAACCAAAAACATCAAATTACATAATATAAGTGCACAATCTAATCCAAAATGCTATACAAATACCCATAAATAACATGAAACTTCAAGACCTATCAACCATAAGAGTGAAGAAGGTAATTTTTGCTGCTTATAAGGATAAATATGCATGTACAGTCTTAATAGTTGAACAATGCAGTGCTAATTTCTTATCCTGAATGAGAATCCATGTGATGACATATTACTTACCACTTTCATCGGCTCCTAGGCTAGTATACCATTTTTCTAATGGGAATCTACTGCCTTTGGCCATCCCAATGCTCGACACTATATTTGTGGCTTCATTGCACGTTAATTCCCTGCCTTTATAATTCCTTCTGGACACCCGATGCGACTAGCTAAGATGATGATATTTGTATGTGGTGTTGGTTTTGACATAGATATCAAATGGTTTGGATTTGGAACTACAATTTGGATGATCTTGTCATAGCTGATTGGTTTGGCCTTTTGGTGACAGAATTGGTGAGGAAAATTATTTTTTGCTTTGAGCTCTTTGGTCATTTATGCATCCTGTGCATGACATTGATATCCTGTAAAATTGAATATCAAAGCGTGGATGCCATTATGGAAATGCTCGCCTTTCCTCCATTCAGGCTTTACTTTTATTGTTTAGTTATTGCACAATAATAGCATACTACATTTTAGTTCCAAGTTAGAAGTGTCGAGTTTAATCATTTGATCGATAATCATTTTTCTCACATGTAGGAGTATCATTTTGGACAAGATACTTCTTTGTTTAGTTATTTGCACTTTGTTTTACTGTCGTTCACTTTTTTAATGGGACTAAGGC